TGCGTACGGTCAGAGTCAATGGGTTAATTGCAAGAACAATGGGAAGGGAAATGAGACAAAGAAAAGAGAAAGAAAAAAAAAAAAGAAAAAGGAAGATGGCCGAGGGAGAAATAAAGGGCGGTGTTAGGTGGAGGGAAAAGGGTGGATTCATATATGGATGCTAACTGTAAATGTGTTCAATCATATGTACATTTGTTGATAAATATACCGCAACATACTGTAAATTTTTTTAAAATCATAAATACATATAGTAATGTGGATTTCGTGCGTTATGTGTTTATTACATTCACTTCTCCTAATCTGTATAATAATGTTCCTTTATTGGTCTGTCTCCTCTGAGAGTGTGTATGTGTTTGTATGGGTGTAGCACCCTCTAGTGTGCTACTAGAGTAGTGTAGGTAAATCTATTGTGTATGACTCGTGGTACTGTGTGAATCTGTAAATTAGGTTATTATTATTATTATACAGGATTTATTTAGTGCCAACAGTTAGCTTAGCGCTTTACAATATAACGGGAGATAATACAGCAAAAATACAGTTCAATACAAGAGGGAAAGGAGGGCCCTGCTCCTTGGAGCTTACAATCTAGGAATGGGTTACTGCAGGCAGGCTGGAAGGCTTAACAGGTTGGTACTCTATTGCCTACACCTGGTTCTGGAGGACCATGGAACCTTCCAGAAGCCAGTGGGCATAAGGGGTGGAGACCTGTACTGCATGTTTATGGGAGTTTAACCAATCTGAGGTTTCGAGGCCTTGGTAGAGTGGCGGACCATCCCATAAATATGGGAGAGTCGGGTGTAAGATGGAGTGCTGAGGAGACTGTAGGTAGCCTGAGAGGAGTCCCCTAGGTCTGGTGGTGGTGGTGGTGGTGGGAGTGGCCTCCAGGCTGGGCACAGGCTTGCTAAGGAAAATCCATTCAGCATCATGGCATGAACAGAATCAAGGCCTGGGAGCAGTGGGAGCAAGGAGGACAGAGTGAGTACATCAGCACACCCAGGGATACACAAGGGGAAAGACTGCCACGTGTAGCAAGCCTTCAAAGGATATCGCTGTGCTTAATCTTTTATCCTTGTCCTGGGAGATCCTCAGAGCAGCCAGGAGGGCTGGTAGTGTCTGCAGGCCGTGGAGCTGGGAGCAGTTCTGCAGGGGAGAGGAGACATCTATGCGTGTAGTTTGCAACAAGTTAAGCTAACCCACATGGAAGAAAAATATATTTTAAATATATTTTAAAAATATTCTTCCCAAATATATTACCATATATTTGAACTGCTACAATTTTGGCCATATTCAATATATTTCAATATATATATATATATATATATATGTATATGTACAATGAATGTTGAAATGTGTTTTTATTACAAAATATATGAAAAATATTTTTAAAAATACATTTCAAATATACTGTATGTCTTTAAAAGTAAAAATCTACATTTTTGGAATGCATTTACAAATATATGTAAAAATATTTGTTAAAATGACTTTTTTGTATGTTGTTAAAAATATCTGATAATTATATTTTTTAAAACTTTTTTTTTTAACATATAAAAAAGTCCTTTTAACATTTTTTTTTACATATATTTGTAAATGCATTCCAAAAATGTAGATTTGTATTTTTAAAGACATACGGTATATTTGAAATGTATTTTTAAAAATAATTTTTCATATACTGTATTTTGTAATAAAAACATATTTCAACATGCAGTGTATATATATATATATATATATATATATATATATATATAAATATACATACATACATTTATCGAAATATATTTTGAAATATATTGAATATGGCCAAAATTGTAGCATTTTAAACATATGGCAATATATTTGGGAAGAATATTTCTAAAATATATTTCAAATATATTTTTCTTCCATATGGGAACTTTCAGAGGACTGCGAGTCCCTAACCAATAGGGGGCTGTAGCTACTGATCTGTAATGTCTGACCCGCATTTAAGGAGAAGAATAGTCTAGGATCTGTTTCTGTAAATAGGAACAAAGTCGTCCCCGTGAATTGATTCAGTCGAGTTGGGAATCCCATAATCCCTATTACCCTATCCAAGTTACATCCCCTAATAAAATAACACAAATCAAGCTCATGGACTGTTCACTGATGGTGGATGCAATTGTGGAAAATGCATATTGCTTGGCTCTTCGAAGCTTATAGGGACCCAGAAACACAGCGGCCCTCAAGAGAGCTACGTGGGTGTAATCCTTGCTGAGGTTGAAGGGTTAATCCACTTTTACCACAAACCGTCTATGCGGGTACCTGCTGATAAACACAAACTGTGTAGCCTTGACCAAAGGTGGATAATGCCCTATAGGTGTAGGCCATTTACATAACCCTGAAGCCTGGCCGAAAAACTCCCAGAGATGGAATCATCTGGTTGCTGGGATGTTGCTAGGACACTCCCAGCTGTTATTGCTCACCCCCCCTTTAGAAGAGTGGGCTGTTAAACCCCCACATGTGGTGCACAACCTCCTCTGTCCCAGCATTGCTGAGCTCACAGATTCTGCATCAGGGAAGAGAGAGTACTTGTGAGGGGGTTTGATTCAGCTGGGAGTATCTTAGCAACATCCTGGCAGAAAGGCAGGATGGGATGATGCCATCTCTGGGAGTATTTCAGTCAGGCTTCAGGAGGTAAGTAAATGGCCTACATCTATAGCAAGGGCATCATTTTACTTTGGTGGGAGGGGCTTAATGGGCACCATTAAACAAAATTCAGGCTTCCTTGTATTAAAGGAATGTGTTATGATTGCTGTGCCACGAGCAGGGGCGGACTGACCATTTGGAAACTCGGGGCACTGCCCGAGGGCCCGGGGTCAGTAGGGGGCCCCATGAGATGCCCCTGGTACCATTTTCATAGGCTTTTTTGAGTTTTGGCAAGGACACAAGGGCCCCATGATCCCCTATTGCCCGGGGGCCCCATGAGTTGTCAGTCCGCCCCTGGCCATGAGCAAAAGTCTCACAGACACAGCCCCAGCACAATTACAAAAAAACAAAACAAAACCTGCATTACATATGATTCGCACACACTGAAAATAAATGGAGAGCTAACACATTTTCTCAGACTACCTTAACCCCTTGCCATCCCGCTCGCAATAAATCTACTGTGAGCAGATGGCAAGAGCAGGCATCACCATGCACATGAACATTGCAGACCTGCTTCTGGGTTTTGCCCAAATCAGTTAGCCGGTTACAGCCAATGATTTTGGCTGTAAATCAGCTGATCTGCTGTACCCAATCATAAAACAGAGTCCCGTGTTTACAAACACACAGAACTCTGTACACAGAAAAGCGATCTGGCTGTTTTTTCTCCATGAATAGCAGGGAGAAAAAACAGCCAGATCTCTAATTAAAACCAGCACATATTAAACGTGTTAGGCACACAGTTAACCCCTTCCCAGCCAGTGTCATGAGTACAGTGTACAGTATTATCACTGATCAGTGTATTAGTGTCACTACAAAGGTGAGTGTTTAGTGCCAGATTGCTCTCCACACTATCACAGTCCCACTATAAGTTGCTGATCACCGCCACTACTAGTACAGCATCAAACCTGCATAAATTCACACAAACCAATTAATATATACACTTACTGGGATTTTTTTACCAAGGATATTTGTCTATTTGAGGTACTTATATAGCACCATCAATTTACACAGCACTTTACACATAAATATTGTACATTAGTCCTTGTCCTCAAGCAAAGGTTCCTAAAACACATTCATACTAGGGACAATTTAGACAGGAGTCACTTCACCTACCAGCATGTTTTTGGAGTATGGTATGAAGCCCATGCAGGTACAGGGAGAACATGCAAGCTTCAAGGAGGTAGTGCTGCTAGGCAGAAGTGCTAACCACTTAGCCATTGAGCTTCTGTATGTAGCTGAATACATTTTGACCTAAATCCATGAAGAATTTTGATATATGTTTTGTAACAAAGTAGAAAATATAGGGTTTTTTTTCAAAATGTTCAGTCTTTTTTCATTTATATAATAATAAAAAAACAGTGGTGATCAAATATCACCAAAATACAGCTCTATTTGTGTGCAAAAATGATATAAATTTCAGTTGGGTACAGTGTTGCATGACCGCGCAATTGCCAGTAGCACAGTGCCAGAAAAGCAAAAAATGGCCTGGTCATGAAGGGGGTAAAACCTTGCAGAGGTTAAGTGGCTAAAGAAGAACTTCATTAATATAGTCAGAGACTGCTTAGCAACCAACAACTGTTGAGACAATGAACACTTTGGTGAGTCAGTTATAATGTACATAAATATGAATATATATTTATCGATGTTTACTAGGTTTTAGGGTTCCTACGTTGGTGCATATGCAGCTGGTGACACTTATAATTTATTTATATAATTAATTTATTTGTTTATTGTGAGCTCTTGCTGTATTTCTACCAGATAAAATGTACAATATAGTGTATATAGAGCAGGAGTCTGTAAGGCACAGTGCAGAGGTGCAATGCGATGTACACTATATTGCCAAAAGTATTGGGCCGCCTGCCTTTACACACACATGAGCTTTAATGGCATCCCATTCTTAGTCTGTAGGGTTCAATATTGAGTTGGCCCCGCCCTTTGCAGCTATAACAGCTTCAACTCTTCTGGGAAGGCTGTCCACAAAGTTTAGGAGGGTGTCTATGGGAAGGTTTGACCATTCTTCCAGAAGCACATTTGTGAGGTCTCTGCTCTAATTCATCCCAAAGGTGTTCTATCAGGTTGAGGTCAGGACTCTGTGCAGGCCAGTCAAGTTCCTCCACACGAAACTCGCTCATCCATGTCTTTATGGACCTTGCTGTGTGCGCTGTTGGGCAGTCATGTTGGAACAGGAAGGGGCCATCCTCAAACTCTTCCCACAAAGTTGGGAGCATGAAATTGTCCAAAATGTCTTGGTATGCTGACACCTTAAGAGTTCCCTTCACTGGAACTAGGGGGCCAAGCCCAACCCCTGAAAAACAAGCCCACACCATAATCCCCCCTCAACCAAATTTTACACTTGGCACAATGCAGTCAAGCAAGTACCGTTCTCCTGGCAACCACAAAACCTAAATACATCCATCGGATTGCCAGACAGAGAAGTGTGATTCGTCACTCCAGAGAACACATCTCCATTACTCTAGAGTCCAGTGATGGCTTGCTTTACACCACCATGCATTTGACGCTTTGCATTGCACTTGGTGATGTAAGGCTTGGATGCAGCTGCTCGGCCATGGAAACCCATTCCATGAAGCTCTCTACGCACACTGTTGTTGTGCTAATCTGAAGGTCACACAAAGGTTGAAAGTCTTTAGCTATTGACTCTGCAGACAATTGGCGACTTCTGCGCACTGTGCTCTTCAGCATGCGCTCTGACCCCGCTCTGTCATTTTACGTGGCCTACCACTTCGTGGCTGAGTTGCTGTTGTTTCCAGTTGCTTCCACTTTGTTATAATCCCACTAACAGTTGACTGTGGAATATTTAGTAGAAAGGAAATGTCATGGATGGACTTACTGCACAGGTGGCAACCTATCACGGGACCACGCTTGGAGTCACTGAGCTCCTGAGAGCGACCCATTCTTTCACAAATGTTTGTAGAAGCAGTCTGCATGCCTAGGTGATGATTTTATACACTGGTGGCCATGGAGGTGATTGGAACACCTAAATCCAATGATTTGGAAGGCTGGCCCAAAACTTTTGGCAATATAGTGTATGTGCTTATCCTCCTCCAGTCCCCACTGCAAACACTTTTGATTTTTTCTTTTGTTTTCTTTAGGGGAACGGGTACCTCTCCCATTTCCTCATTTCTTGCCTAAGCGAGAAGTACATCACCACTTCACCCCCTCCCTGCCCATAGCTTCCTGGGACATGTCACACATCGTAGGAGGCTGCATGTGCAGCAGGAAGCCACCTGTGATTCCTCAGGAAGTCACAGCCAGTTCCCATATCCAAGATGGTGGCACCAGAGAGCCGCATCGGGGAGAAGAACCAGCTGCGGTAGGGCAGTGCTAGACTCCAGGGACTAGTAAGTCAGCAGCTGTAGTATTTGTAAATGTTGACTTGTTGAATTTTTTTTTTAAACACTTGCGGATTGCCTGCCCGAAATGTACTGCGGCCCATACAGGCACAGCGACGTACCTGTAGGTCTCTGACCTCTTCTGGGTACAGGACGCTTGCTCCCCTGCCCGCTGACTCCTGCTGTGATTGTGCAAAGCAGAAGTTTGTGATCTGGTCCCAGCCAATGATTCATGGCTGGGACCTGCTGATCGGCTGTGTCCAATCATAGCCCGGAGCCCTGTGTTGACAAACAATGCAGGGCTCTGTACAGAGATAACAATCTTGGTTCTTTTTCCCTGCAAAGCATGGAGAAGAAACAAAAAAAATATTAATAAGAAGCAGCACACATTACACAATTTAACACTTGTTAGGGACACACTTAACCCCTTGATTACATGAGATATTAACCCCTTCTCAGCCAGTGTCATTCCTACAGTGACAGTGTATAGTATTATCACTTATCACTGTGTTTGTGTCACTGGAGATATCAGTGTCAGTCAGTTCCCACCCAGTGTCAGTTAGTGTCAGATTGTCTGCCGCATTATCACAGTCTCGCTATAAGTTGTTTATCACCGCCATTAGTAGTATTTAAAAAAAATCCTGTATATATACCATAGTTTGTAGTTACATAGTTAGTCTGGCTGAAAAAAAAACAAAAGTTCATCCAGTTCAACCACAGAAAAAAAAGTTATAATCCTATACCCACAGTTGATCAGGAGGAAGGCAAAAAAAACCCATTAAAGCATGATCCAATTTGCTCCTGCAGGGGAAAAAATTCCTTCTTGATCCCCCAAGAAGCAATCGGATATTCCCTGGATCAACTTTACCTATAAATGTTAGTATCCAGTTATATTCTGTGTAGATGCTATAACTTTCATGAAAACCAATCATATCAATCAATATATATGTATTGGAATTTTTTTTACTAAAGACATGTAGCAGAATACATTTTGGCCAAAATCTATTAACAAATCTGATTTTTAAAAAAATGTTTCTTATTGGAAATGTTTTATAGCAGAAAGTCAAAAAATATTGTGGGTTTTTTTTCAAAATCTTCAGTCTTATTTCCATTTATATATTAAAAAATAAATAAAACAGTGGTGATCAAATACAACCAAAAGAAAGCTCTATTTGTGTGAAATAAAAAATGATATAAATTTCGTTTGGGTACAACGTTGCATGACCACGCAATTACCAGTTAAAGTATCGCAGTGCTAAATAGCAAAAAATGTCCTGTTCATGAAGCGAATAAAACCTTCAGGAGCTCAAGTGGTTACAAATGGAGACGTTCCTCTTGAATCTACTCAGACAAAGCCAGAGCTTCATTATAGACTGACTGTCCTGTTCTAGAGCCACAAGGACAAAAGTCACATATGGCCACTGTGAGCACAGGAATCATGTTCTGTTTCTCATCGAGTAAGTATTTCTCCATTGACCAACATCTGACCCCAGCAAAACGCTGTTGTTAAACGTAATCTCATTCCCTGGCTGCTGCAGGCCTGTCTGCCAGCACAGTGAGATGGTAACAACAGAACAAAGGGGACTTCATCTTTTGTCTTTGCTAACTGGATGAAGACAGTTTTATTTCCTTCCTTTGTTGGAGAATGGCGCTTGAACTGAAGTTATATGAATTAGGATCTTTATAGCATCGTTCATTATTACCTGCAATCCTCAAATTTTGTGCATCTACAGCAATTTTTCCTTTTGGTTTTGGAGAGACCATAGAAATGTTGGATACTTTATCAGATTTATATTGATCTCTATTCGTCCAGGGGACCATAGTCACAATGACACAAATTAAATCTGAAGTTTAGGGATGGCAAGTTTTACTTAGTTACATTGGCTTAGCTTGAATCATTGTAAGTATGTATGTGCCATACCTGGGATCTCCCATGAAGGTGGAAATCATTGGAGTAGGCAGGACTACAATAGTGATTGCTGATAGCTTCCAGTTTCTGTGCTGAGTGGCTGCCCTGCTGCCAGGGCGGTGCTACCACTAGGCGAACTAGGCAGCTGCCTAGAACACTGCCGCCTAGGGCACAGCCACAGCCACTGGTTTTCCTACTCTCTGTCATGGCCGGATCTAAGAGGGTGCTGGGGTAGGCTACACTCCCCCCCCCCCCCAGATTTCATCAGTGCCCCCCCCCCAGGCTGGTCTTTCCATGAACTCTGTGCTTGGTCTCTGAGTGCCTTCCCCCATTCCCGCACTCATGGCTGGGGCAAGGGGATAGCAGCCTGGAGCAGTGAAGCCTGCAAAGGAGAAATGACAGGAGAGAGCCGGGAGGTGCGGGCTGTGCTCTCCCCCTCCTGTCAGTGGAATGATCCTCCATAAAGCAGATGACAGAATCGCTCTTGCATTGGCATGTTCAGTGTTTGATTCATTCCCTGGCTCCCTGCTGCTGGGAGATGAGGAGTTACTGGAGGAGAGAGGGGGGGGCAGGGTAATCAAACTGTGTACAGTCCAATCCAAAAGCAATCCTGTGTCATCTGTTGTTTGGAGGATCGCTCCACTGACAGGAGAGGGAGCACCACCTGCACCTCTACCTGGTTTTCCACCTGTAAGTTCAGTGGGGTGGGGGGCTTACAGGCCGGGGGAACTATACACAGTGAAAGGTGGGGGGAGTAACAATCATCTGTGATGAGGTGAGAGGTTTATGCAGGAAGGGGGTTGGAGGCTATTTGTGCTGGGAATGGTAATGGGGATGATTGATTGGGGGGGGGGGGGGGGGGGAGAATGCTGCTAGGAGAAGGAATGGGGAAATATGTGCTAGGATCAGGAGGGAGGTTTGGGGGGTTATTCTAAAGGGGGGGGGGGGGATTTGGGTAAGCTGGGATCTTATGTTGGGAAGGATAATTTTGAGGAGTTTCAGCTAGAAGAAGGATTTGGGGGAATTTGTCCTAGGTGGGGGGATTGAAGGAAGAGGATTGGTGCTAGGAGGGGGATTTGTGCTAGGAGGGAGGGGGGTTGGGTAAGGGGGGAGGATTTTATGTTGGGAAGGGTAATTTGGAGGGGTTTTAGATAGAAGAGGTATTTCGGGAAATTTGTGGGTATTGAAGGAGGAGGATTGGTGCTGGGGGGGGATGGGGGGGTGCTAGGAGGGGGGATTGGGGGGGCATTTGTGCTGTGAGAGGTGATTTTGGGGATTTGTGTTAGGAGAAAAGAATGGGGGGGGGAATGTGTGTTAGGAGGGGGGATTGGGGGGGGATTTGTGTTAGGAGGGGGGGATTGGGGGGGGATTTGTGTTAGGAGGGGGGAATGGGGGGAGAATTGGTACTAAGCGGAGGGATTGGGGTGGAACTTGTGCTAGGAGAGGGGATTAGGGTGGTTGTGCTAGGGAGAGGAATAGGGGTGATTTGTGCTAGGAAAGGGATTGGGGGGAATTTTTTTGCTAGGAGATTGGGGATAGGGGATATTTGAGATTGGAGGGGGGGCGGAATTGTGCTGAGGGGGATTGGGAGGGGTTGTGCTAGGAAGGGGGATATGTGCTAGAAGGGGGGGTTTAGGTGGGGAGGGAGGATTTGTGCTGGGAAAGTTAATTTGGAGGGGATTGTGCTATGAGGAGGGATTGGGGAGATTTATGCTAGGAAGGGGGTTTTGGGGGAGAGGATTTGTGCTAGGGTGGAAAATTTGTGGGGAAAGAGGATGTGCACTACGAAGGGTGAAACAGAACTACCGATGAAGTTTTTTTTTTTGGGGGTTGAGGGTGCATGCAGCTGATCTTACCTAGGGCAAAAAAAATAGTCTAGTACCAACCTGCCTGCTGCCCTGCTGCTTATTGACCACAGGAGGTTACTCTCTGATTGGACAAGGTGGAGATCATGACATCACTGTCTGCCTCCCCACCTTGTCCAATCAGAGAACTAATTGCATTTATTGAAAGAATGCAAAGTATTCCCTGAATGGAGACTGTGCTGAGCGAGCAACCTGTTCACAAAGCAGCAAGGCAGCCGCTTAGAAGCTAGTGGAGACCCAGAAGCTAGTGGAGATCACTGGAATAGTAGTGCCTTCTACCATGGGGTCCCACAGGCATGGCACATACACACTCAAACTTTGAAAACCATACAGCAGCACTCAAAAACACCCAAGTGTAGTAAATATGCATACAATTTTGTTGAGCTGAGCCTTTAAAAAACATAAATCAATTAAAAGTGTTTAAACACCCAAAAAGTGTCAAATACATTCATTTATGGCCTAGAAGTCCACTAAAATGTCCATCAAACCAAGATTATGTGAAATTAATGACAAAATCCTTGTGAGCCCCCTGGTGAGTTCCACCACCAGTAGCATACACAGCCTGTTACTAATGAAAAAGACCCCAAATGGATGCTTAAGAACTGCTGCAGCAATTATCACAGATCTCAGCCCCTTGAGAATGTCTAATATGACAAAACGCATCAGGGCGGAGCCTGTACTCACATCATAATGCCGCCGCTTCCTTGGCGGAGTTTGTTGATGCGCTCTTCGTTCATTTACTATCGTGAGTAACTTTTTAAAGCGATAGTAAAGTCCTAAAAAAAAGTTATTTATTATAATAGGCTAATGTTATAATGTGCTAGTATGCACC